TTAAAGAAAACGTACAACCGGGAATCGAAATAGCGTGCGAGTCTAGTGCACATTTAATTTAGTAATTAAATGATATCTTTTTTTTTAAATAACATTCAACGGTTTTGGAGATTCGTTTGCAACAATAATATAATATATATTATAACGAATCGGTAACCCTAACACGCCACATTCGAAGTAATCCAAGTTTTGTGTAGTACCAAGTGGCGTTCCTTTAAGGGCGGATTAAGACTGAATTATCTTGCATCCCGAAGTCATTTGCCGGCTGAATAGTATACGCTTGTCAGCGTTTATTCATTGACTGATAAATCGCGCCATTCGCGCTTCGTTTGCTCACGTTGCGCGGGAACGTCACAGGGAAACCTTAATGCAAAATCACATAGAGGCTCTGAATTCATAGAAACGTTTGATCGCAACAAATTCCGAAGATTTCGTTCTTTATATAACCGTATTTTAGAAAACATTCGAAGTTATTTTCTGAATTCTGAATATAATGTCTGTTTTAATTCAACTAGATATGCTATCATGTATTTAGTAACTTTATTGATGACATTTTACCTGTATAGGAAAGAAGATATGTATGATAAATATGTTGTTACTAGCTTAACGCCAAAGGATTCGCCCGCGTTTTCTCTAGGGAACCATATAGTGGGATAAAAAGTAGACTTATTGTTAATTCAGAATTAAGTGTATACAGAAAATTCAACAAAATCTGTAGATAACTTTTTGCATTAAAAATAAATATGAGACGTTAAATCTAAAGAACATACTACAAAATATAAATCCCGAGAATGTAATGTCGCAATATAAATATCAGTAGCATTACCAATTACAGTTTTATATGAACTTTCATTTGTTTTCGTTAGATTTATTTGATGTAAATGTTTTTTAATCTATATTTAATGCAATGTTTCAATACAATATTAACTTTTGAATAACATAAAAGGAGATATTCTGCATCAGATTTTATGATCATAAATACTTTTTAGGAGATAGAAAACACGACAATCGATAGGTTTATTGACATAGAATATAAAAATAAATAGAGGTGACTAAAACGTGCCCTCAATCGCTCTTAATCACAAAACTTGAGGATCTGAAAAATTGGTCATGATAACCTGCTGGAACTCCGGAATTTGTTATTAGAAATGTAATTTACCCCGCCCTTGGGACGTCTATTACGCATCTCCGGAGATGTTCCATCAAAATGTTTTCAAACACATTGGGTTTTTTATGTAAATAAAACGGTTTAGACCGTTTTAATTTTATACTAGCCAAAGATTCAAAGAGGATTTGACTATTTACAAAACTAGGAGCAGATTAACTAGTTATTTTTTCCATTTCAAAACCTCTTTCATTACTTCTATATATACCGTCCAAACATGTACCTACTATAAACCGCTTCAAATTTGAAAAAATACTTATGACGTCATAATGCAATCTATGAAATCCAAGAAAGAATCTCGGGAATTGGAAGTTGATAGTTTATATAAAACTTACTTTCTACAAGTGACAAGAGTCTCAAATTTTGCATGAGGTTTCTTTTTAAGGTTACAGGTGTTAACTAAGAAGGGATCTTGCACACTTTACCCCCAAGGATGTTTTTATGAGGGCTGATAATTTCTACGACATATATAACATGTATAACCAAGCGGACACAATTGCGGGCAACAGCTCACAATACGCCAATAAGTTATGAAGTCATGGCTCTATGAACGGAGATGCCTTTGCATTCCAAATAAAAAAGAAGTTTTATAAAATAAGTTAATATTTATTATTTCTAACACTAGGCTGGTATGGACGCCTTTTACAATAATCAAACAACAACAAAAACGATACGAAAATGTAAACAAAATCAAGAAAACGCCCCTGCCATTATTTAATACAAAATCATTATTAAATTACAGCTAAGTTAGGTACATTTACGTACGCTTTGGTCGCATTTGGTCAAGGCTAATGTTATTATTATGGTTAAATCTGGCTAAGAGGGGATTAAGCCAAAGCTCTTTGGTAGGCAGGATCAGGTGAATGAGTAACCTGTATTATTTAAACAAGATATTTTTGTTCGGAATATAATTTTTAATATTCGAATCATTGGAGTTTAAAATAAGAACGAAGAATATAAACTTTTTGCTGCATTTTCTGTTGTATTTATGATATATACGAAAGGAATAAATACTGTAATAAAAATAAGAAATTAGATTTAACGCATTTGATACTTCCTTTTTTAAATTCACGAGAAAAACAAAACTATTGTATATTAAAATGTTTTTGAAAAAAATACATTCTGGCACAACAACTGCAGTCGTACAAAATGCATTGTAAACTCCTGCATTTATTTTAAAATCTCAAACGTTTTCGCGTTGATTTTAAACTTTATTATTATTTTTACCTTGCGTAATTTATTGAACTAGAAGTTACATTATTATTATTTTTTTTATGTAACAAAACAAAATGTTCTGCTAACTACCATTATCACATGAGTAATAGCAACATTTGGAAGCCATACAACATTCGAAAATGTAATTTAGACGCTACCGCCGAGTAGCAAGCAACTTAACGAGCGGTACAAATCAAGAATATTAGTTTGTAGTACTTTCATTAAATGTGATTTTTTTATTATTTTGCATGTTTTCTTTTGTAAAAAAGTGGCCATCTTAAAAGAAATAGTATTATGCAAATATATACGACTCGATGAAACATTATGGTGTACGAGTATAAAAAAAATAATTGATCGAGAATTGAATGTAAAAATGCGAACGGTTCACTTTTTTGCTATGGCCTTAAATGTCCATGCACCTTTTGATTGGTTCCAAAAGTTTTAAAGAGGCGTGACTGTATTGTATAAATTCCTTTGCCTTCAATTTAATACAACCAAAATATTATATTTCATCAACGGTGACTATAAACGTCAAATTGAATAAGTGTAATATATGCAATTGTGATTCCTTATATAAATCTCAATTGAAAACCCTCTGAAAACTATCAGTAACCCCGTAAATGTATTGAAAATACCCTCACACTTACGTGTCGTAGAGATGGAAGGCTCTTTTAACAGTGGCCTTATCCATTCCACGCATTAAACTCCGCCTATTCCCGCAAAAGGTTCAGTTCTGATGGCTCCATTGAAATTTATCGATAGCAATTCTTTTAAAACGGTCTATAAACCGCCCTGAATGAGTCTTACAAGGTGAATTGCATGTTCTTTAACGAGTAAGAAGTAAAAGGAAAATTGAAAAGAGAATTAATGACTGTATCTCGAATAAGAATAGAGGAAAGAGCAATAATATTAATTCCCAGTGTAAAATGTTTAATGCGTGTGCAAATTAAAATAGAAACTTTTTTAAAATGACTGTGTTCTTTATTTGAAATATTTTCTTTTTTCAGTTATTTGTTTAAAGACGAGGATCAAGTAGGTCCAGTCCGCTAAGACATTAATTCTTTTTTTTTATTAAAAAATTCTGCTTCTTTGAAGAGTTAGGTCGAAAAATTCAGTAAATTTAATATATGCAAGAAAGAGGTAAGCTCACCTTCATAAGGTCTGTTCAAAGAGGAAGCACTGACTTTTTACGGCCTATGAACTACTAAGTTTTACTGATTTTGTCTTGTCCCGAAACATAATACTTCTAAGAAGCAACTTTTTCTTTTATTATAAAGTGCCGATGAAATACTTGATTGAAATTTAAAAAGAAGCAAATAAAATCAGCTAAAATTACTAACAGTGATTATAATTTGATTATCATTTCTATCTGGAAGTTACACTACAAATAACACTAAAAATGTCGGCGATATATTCAATAACAGCAAAGGGATTGTTTCCAATTAAATATCACTACCTATTGTAATGGTTAGCGTTTAATCACACAGCTGAAATATAAAGCAGCTTAAAGTTCAATCTCGAACGGAACAATACGCTCCAACAATATGGTATGAAAATCCATATAAAGAGCTTGTTCTATTTCCTTGCGTAACGGGACTGCCTCAAGGACAATAGGCCTCAAAGGGCCCATTCACTATACGAGCAACACAATTAACTACCCGTGTATCAAACGTTCAGTGTTGCCACACATGTATAAAATATCGTAGAAACCCTTATAATATATGGCTGTTTTCAAAAAATATTTGGAGTGTTAAAATTACACATACTTACATAAAGTTAAACTTTACATATTTTTTCCTTAAAAATATATTAAAACTTAATTATTAACTATACCTACTTAATACAAAAAAAAATCACTTAGTGGTGTAAAAAATGTTTGGTGACCAAATAAAATAAAAAAATATTATCACGACTTCGTTTGCTTGATACTTGACAGAAAAATCAAGTTTATCAAAGCAGTTGTCATAATAAAATCCATTTATTTTTTTAATAATATTTATTACTAATAAGGAGTTCGATGGGGCTGTTTTCAGCACAATGGGCAATAATAAAAAATTTGCTATCACAAATTCCTCTGCTCTTTGAAAGGCAGGTCGATTAGTCAGTCTCGATATTTGTTAGCACGCTAATAGAAAAAAAAAACTTTCTATCCTCACTTGGGCCGCATGATTTCTTTTTGTACGTTCCTATTTGATTCTATCCAAAGGAAAGGCCTGGGTCCCATCAGTGGGGAGATTAAATAGGCTGACAATGACTAATACATAAAAGTATTAAGCAAAGTCGTTTTCCGTCTGACGAGCCCTATACTTACATCTTTAAAACTACGCAATGGATTTTGATGCGGTTTTTCTAATAGATAGGGTAATTCAAAAGGAAGCTTATTATGTCTAAAACAACACCACGCGGGCTAAGTCGCTGGACGAAAGCTAGTTACTAATATGTTGCAAATGGGAAAATGTGTTTGTTTTTCAATTGTTATATGATATTTTTTAACAGAAACAGTACTTCATTTTGCTTGTAATAGCAAGTAAATTATAAACATAATCTCTAGCGTAAATTTTCCTATTCATGTTCACTGGACGACATTGAAAAAATATATATATATATATAAAAAACTCACGTTAGTTAAGAACGGAGCGTTATCATTGATGTCAGTTAACTCCAATATGACTTCTGTTGTCGACCTCAGGCTGTCAGATCCTAATCTGCCTCCTTGATCGGCGGCCATGATGAGGATCTGCCATCTCGTGAACCCCGTAGGTTGGTCGCGGTCTAAAGGCTTGGTGAGACGTAAACATCCATCGTTGTCTATTTGAAGGAACTCCTTTTGCTCATGCTTTACTAAGGAATACACGATACTCTGTGGTGCATTCCGGTCTTTTATATCTGGGTCGTACGCCTCTACCTGTGGTATTAATATTGAGATATTATTATTTAAGAATAATTATTTTCAAAAAATATATTTATCATTCCTATACTAAACTGTGGAATTATGAGTAAAAAATAATAAAGGTACCAAAATAGTACCTCTCCGACATTTCATATCAAACTTAAAATATTAAATAAAGTCAAACTGTCTGTGACGATAAAAAGTTGCTCGATAATGAAGACGCGTACTCATTGACCAGCTGTAACTATAACCGAATAGAGGGTCTCTGATGGATCACGAACGAAAGTTCTTAAAATTTGTTAAAATTATATCTATGAAGGTTGCCTGTGGATCAGAAAATGATAGGTCTTACGTCCGTTCCATTATAAATTATCGAAAAATGGATTTCTTTTGACTCATATTAGGGTTTTAAAAATAGATGAAATACTTTTTCGGAGAAACAGGGCATGCCTTGAGATACAGTTACAAGGTTCTATGTAAGCACAGGTGAAATATTTTAATTTGCGACAACCGGTGACCTAGATGCAATCGGTTCACTGCGAGTCACTCACGGCAGCCTCGTGCACTATGCACATTTAAGGTAAAATGACATAACGTTACAGTCACGCCTTACAATGAGTACGCGGCTTCTTTCATAGAGACGATATTTAACAGCTAATTTTAAAATTAGATACTGTCGACTCGTATAGTTACAGCTTTCCATCCCTATCCTTTATCAAATCTTTAATAATATAACATACATGAATATATCACAGATATAGATAGATAATAACATAAAAGAAAATTTTTCATCTTTAAGGAAGAATTTTTGTTAAATATGACAAATATTAGATATTTTTAAGGACTGAACAGGATAGATTTTAGTTTATGTATAAACTCAAACACTAAAGTTTGATTTTTTTTTTTACCGATATAAAACTACGTTCCCGGACTCTATTTTATCTATACTAATAAAATAAAGAGATATGATTTCATTGTTTGTTTGCATCAAATTGGCTCTGACACCACTACTACTAAAAGATTACTTCACATATGGAAACAAACACGCCGGTAACATAGGCTATAATTATCGCGGGCGAAGTCGCGGGAAAATATAAAGTAACACTAAGACACTGGTTCAGTCATTTATAAATTTGTCGGCATATTCCGATGAGGAACAATTGCCTTTAGAATCACTATAAAAACTTTGAATACTTCTCAAAGCATAAAAAAAGATCAATAAGCTATAGAATATCAAATATCTATTAATGAACGATTCTTGATTAATTAAACTGTAAATTATAAAGAACAATATAAATTTCCGATACAAATTGTTGAAACTCTGTTCATAAAGTTTATTTACTAAATAACACAAATTTGGCTTTGATTAAAGCCAAAGAACAAAAAATAACTGTTACAAATAGAAATGTTTTCATTCCAAAACACTGGAAAGATTTTCCGTGTATATTCCGCAAAATTCACGAGACCACCGCTAATGAAGTTCAATAAATGAGAGAGGGTGAACCAAATTGTTTTATGAAATATGACACGCCATCTCCATGGATGATTCGTCTTAATTAAGTTTCGAAACGAATTATTTTCTTATTAAAATTTCAAGGGAAAACGCCTCCAAATTTTGTGTGTGGGCGAAATATACTTTTGAACTTTGTATTCGAATTATATCTTATTACGATATATAAATCAGATTTTCGTTACTTTCAAAATCGAATCGAATGTTAATACAAGGTCAAGTAATAATAATTTCTTGCGATTTTCATTAAAAACTTCTAATTCGAAATTTCACACTTCAAACATATCATAGAAGTTGTAACATGGTTTCTGTAAAAGTCATTAATGTTTTTAATTATTAAGTTTTATTAAACATTGTGTCGACTTCACGATGAAAACGCATTCTACATGAGGGTTAAGAAAAAAAAAATGTATATTCACAAGAGTTACATACCGCCAATTTCATTCTTATAGCTTTAATAGGTTATTTGTTAACACCAAAAGGACGTTAAAATATTTGATTGATAATAAAACAGTCACAACGATTTGCTAAATGACCTTTTTTTAAATCCGCCATATTTAAAATGGTTCAAAAAGACCAACAAGGTAGACAGTTTAAATATATTAAATGACTAGTGCATAAGGTTTTTACTCCTATAACGTCGAGATTTCGCAGCCAGCAGTAAATTTTATACAGTAAATGATAGATCAGTAAGGATGATATATATCGGAAAAAGACGGGACATTTTCCGTTTTTCCACACGATGTACTTAGAAAGATAGCAAGTGATATTTTATCCATGATGGAGATACTAAATTTAGTGACATACATCTCATATAGGTTGAGAGAATCAAAGGTTTTTCTAGACTGACATAAACATAGGTACTGATTACAAGATGACAAAAAATAAACTTTAAAGGAAAGTCAAATTGAAATATGTATTTGTAATAGTTAAGACAATGTTTCTTATTATCATTGTGAATGCAGGTTTAAATTTTCAAATGACGGCAATTGATAATAAAATGACGATAAACTTTTTTTTTCATTCGAAAATAAACTTTATTTGTATGGTCTTTCGTATGTTTTTCACAATCATTAAAATAAAACGACGTCTTTGAGTGCAATATCAGTTCTTTTCAGAGTAATATCATCTAAAATCTATTCACGAAACATATCTTTATATAAAGAAGAAGAAGTCGTCTTATTATAAAACAAGGACTAACTTTAGTATCTGGTTTAAATCATTATCCAACCAAAATATTCTACACACCTCTCAATTTGACGATTTTTCTTCTATCGGTGCCAATTTGGTGTTGTAGTGCAATGGTTTAAAAAAAGTACTTCCTAACTTTAGTCTTAGTTTTATAATAAGAGGGTAGTAGTTTTTAAATATAGCATTCAACATTTCAAACAAGAATTAGAGATTCTAATTTCTTACCTTGACAATACAACCTTCATACAGTTTCTCCTCTTCGATAGTTTTAGTGTAATTATCCAAAAATACTGGTGGATTGTCGTTAAGATTTTCAATGTTAATGATTACTTTAGCATAATCTTCATAAATGCCATCGAAAGCTCTGACGTCCAGACTGTAAGTGGTGATGTTTTCGTAATCTAGTTCGTTGTTCACTCTGATTTCGCCGGTGAAGTTACGGATGACAAACGCATCATAAGTGTTGCCGGCAACAATGCTGTATGTCACTACCGACGCTGTTGGAACAAAAAAAAGAGATATAGTCTAAGAGATTTCGAAAGCTTGATGTTTAAGTATGTTGAAGTACAAAGGGTATGCATCACTTAGTACTGTACGAAGGTCAGGTGTTATAACACCTAATAGCGGAGAAGCAATGTAAAGTACGAAAAATCGTAACACATATTAAAGGAGCTTTTAAAATACACATATCACATATGATTACCTGTGTCAGTGTCAATTGCTGTAACTTGGGTGACAAGCTCGTTGATATTAGCATTCTCGGCTATACTTTCCGCTACATAAGTGTCTTGTGTGAAATGCGGTGGGTTGTCATTCTTATCAGCTATCTCTATCAAAAACGATTGTTGACCAGCGTTATGTTTCCCTGGTATGAGCGCTGACTCTGAATTGTCAGTGGCAATAATTTTGATATTGTAGAAACTCTTTTCTTCTCTATCGAACATTTTGAGAGTTGTGATATTGCCAGTAACACTGTCTATAGCAAAGGGATCTGATGGATCTCCAAGTTGGTATGTAACTTGGTTGTTAGCAGATGTGCCGTCAGCGTCGAACGCTCGAACTTGCATCACTGGTGTGCCGGGTGGTTCGTTTTCTAATACACTACCAGATCTTATCTCACTGAAAATCGGTATGTTATCATTGACGTCTTCAACTTCGATTTGGATAATTGTTTCCGCTGCTAATTTGTAGTTATTCTGAAATAGAAAAAGTCACAGTTTATTATAATCTCTCTTACACTCCTAATCTAATAAAAATAATACTATTTCTGATTGATATTTACCTGTATTCTGACAGTGAGGGTGTAATCTGTAATTTTCTCGTAATCTAAATGGTTGCCGAGTTTGATATAAGCCGTATCTGCTTCCGGTTCTAATACAAATGTGTGCCATTTATTAGTCTGTTCTGTCTGACCCATCACCAATTCAAACTGTAGCTTCTCTTCCTCGGGAATATTCGATCTAATAACAAAAATATCGTAATAAGTATATAAAAAAAAACTAGCTTTTGCTCGTAACTTCGTCCGCGTGGTAAAGTGACTTTGGACAGCATTTCTCTAACGAATATTTATTAATTATATCGTGTAAAATACCTGAAACATGGTTTTATGATTTTATCGTTGACAAAGATGAACATCTATACAAATTTTAATTCAAACAACGATCGCGAGCCGCGGGGCTTATCCACTGTGCCATCGAGCAACACATCAGAATAGCTTAAAGTTCTCACTAAATTTTATTTGAAAACTCAACCTTGACCAAAATAGTGCGATGTAAAAGTAAAAGTAACGCTTACTTAACGCCATAATATATAGTTATTTATGTTTTCAATTATGTACTCAAACATTAATTTATATCATAATATAAGGAAATCTTTATAAATACTATAACATAGATTTATTACAATGAGAAATCAAATCGTAAACAATTGTTGCTATGGTAACACTTCGATTTCCCATAAAAACTTTCATTCCCAATTTTATTCCTTTACGTGCTAGTTTTTGGGATAAAGTATAACCCATTACCTTCCTAGGATCCTAAACTATCCCCAATTTTCATTGATATATGTCCAAAAACAAAGAAATCTCATACAAAAGTTTTCACCCTCTTTGACCCCGTTCGGGTGGAATTTCCAAAAAACCATTCTTAGTACACCTCTTCCTAATAAGACGTATGACCTTTCCAAATTTCAAGTCACTACGACCTGCGATTTAGGCTGTTCGTTAGTTGTATATATTTACACATATTTGTCAGTCAGTATGTCAGGACATCTATAATATATTAATCTCCTTTTATAAATGTATAGATAATATATATACATTGGCAAAATAACCTTGACATAATCACAAAAGTATTGTTAGATTTTAAAGTTTATAGAAATATAAATGAAAAAATTTCTCCAGCGATTTACAGGGCAATCAAAAAAAAAAAAAGTAATTAAGCCCCAACAAACAAATTCAAGAGGTACTAAGAAGGAAAGTTAACCACAAAATCGAATGTAAAATAATGATACTAACAAAAAACTAAAAGAATGATACTTACACAGCCTTAACAGTAGCAATAGGTGCGTTGAAGTCTGCGTAGTTCTCCTTTAACCTAATGGGACCAGATGGAACTTCTATGAAAGAAGGGCTTTTCTTATTAGATTCAACGACTTGGATATCTAATGTGATAGAACTCTGCTGTGGTGGGTCCCCCATGTCTTTTACTATTGCACTTAATTTGAATTTGTAACCGGGTACTTTCTGCAAGAAATATATAAAGTTATTTCTGTTCTTAAAAGTACAAATATCAATAGATAAAATCAAATTTAACTGTATTTTATATTTCCTCCTCATAAACCATTGAACTATGAGATATATACGGGTTTCTCAATTGAGAAAAGTACAAAGTCTCAAATTATTACTCTCAACAACTTAAGTTTTATACGTTTCACATGGCGACTGTACATTAGAAAATTCAAGATCAAAACAAAACCCATATATGTAACGTTAAAGATGGTATAAGTACGATTTGAAACGTGCTTAACATTAAATCCTCTATTCAAAAACCGGGTGTTAATAAGGCAAATCCTTTAGACTTAATATTCCTAATTTTTAATGTAATTAATAGTTGAAACAGTACTTACATCGATAGTTTTATTTAAAAATATCACTCCATTATCTGGGTCGATGTAAAAATATGCTTGGTCCGGAGAATTAGAATCGAGGCTGTAGTGAACTATGGAATTATTCCCATCATCGATGTCAGTTGCAGATATCCTCATTACCTCCCTGCCACTCGGTAGATCTTGAGGGACGGACTCGGAGTAAGACTGTACGTTAGAAAACACATATTAATATAATGACTATAAAAAAAATGGTCTTATCGTAAGATTTTTTCATAGATTAAAAAAATCTTTATTTTAACAAAAGATATTTGAATAATTTAAATTATTTCATTAAAACTAACAAGAGAAACGGTGTTATCGTCCAATTCCACACGGTGTATTTAGCTGCTCAACGCTCTCACGTCTTAGATCCTACGCATAAGCATGCCCGAAGCTTAGAGATAGTACTCTTATTCAAAATAATAATAACCGTGCATCGTGATAAAATGCGTCTAGGGGAAAAGAGCAGCCTAGCTAAAGAAAACACATCAACTACAAATGTGCAAAGAAAGTGGATTTGAACACATTATAAACACATAAATTTATTACCAATATCGCCTTGAGTGGCGGCTTACGATCCTAAAGACATGCAGCAACATGCAAGTAGAAAATAGTAAAGTTTTAAAGTGTTCATCATAGATCGATTATTATCATTGCTCCGTTTGTATAAGAAACAAGGAAAAACAAAAGCAATGGTAACAATCGTAGAAACACAAGATGAATACAACTGTGTGTAAGTTTATGATATATATGTGCGTGACGCATTTTTTTCATTTTGTGAAACTCTTAAGACAAACCTTCCAAACATCTCCACGGAAGACCTTTAGGAAATAGGTAAATGTTAGTATCGCACTTTCATACAATATTAGTTATAAAGATATTTTACACAAAATTTTATATAGTACTAAAGTTAAAACTTTCCTGTCCACGTAAGACCTATAACACTTTTAAGGTTCTATTATAAGGACAAAAATAATGGCATATTCTATTTAGCGTTGATCCCTAGCATAGGCGAGAGCATAAGTTATTAGCATTATGTTCGGTTACTGATTGCTATTCAAACAATACTTAAAGTTCAGGGTGAACGAACAGAGAACAAATCATGTAAATGCGCCCCAGAATTTATGAAGTAACTTTGAACATTGATTATTACTGCGTAAGCTTTTAAACTTTCATTAGTGTCGAATCGTTTAATATTGCCTTTTCAATTTACATCTGAATTCATAGAACTGATATCTTGTTTAATTGTTTCTTAGTGTTTCAAATCATTCTAAGACATGTTTACAATAAATAATAGTTGCGTAATCATATTCATTTTAGTATAAACACTTACAACTTTGTCGAAAACTGGCTGATTGTCATTGATATCTTCTATTAATATTTTTATTGTACAGGCATCATCTAATTGTGGTTGTCCATTGTCACTAGCGCGGACTGTTATGTATGCTTCTTTCTCTCTCGAAGGCTCATCGTGGTCGAAAATCTGTTGTGTAACGAAATCATTAAGAAAAATTTCCTTTATATTTATAATATCTGTTTTACCTACCTCATATCCAGGATTAAATGTACTAAAATTAACAAATTTATTGTTATTTCATTATGAGTATACTTAGAACAATTAGTTGATAAATTAAGTGTTCGATTGATCAAATTAGAAACTCGATCTACTGTAAAATTAAATGGGATTATACTGACATCAGCTGTAGTTATCCGTCCTGTTTCTGGGTCAACGTGAAACCGCTCCTTTTCACCCGGTGTGGAAACAAACTTGTATGTCACTGTGCCACCCATTTCAGGTGGATCCTTGTCTTCTGCATGGACCTGTAAATATATTATGCTATAACACTACAAATTTCGAAACGCTTGTGTAACTACCATCAAATATTAAATACTATTAAGCAAATTTTGCTTAGCTTTTCAAAACGGCCTTTAGAAATGTTATAATAACCTCGCTAAGTTTATTCATCCCTTAATTTAGAACTTAAATTGTACCTTAATCAAAACTACCTAGTAATTACAAAGTTATTTATTCCGTTCTAAGTAATTTAGAATAATTTATAAATTTCACTATTGATTTCAAACCGTATTAGCTTTTATATCCTCGAAATTACCCGAAGTTTAATAGCAACTATATTTCATTTTGTCTAGATCCTAATCTCTAAAACAATTAATACGTGATGATGTAAGTTTCCTAACATTCACTATTTCAATGGAAATATTAGTACATAATTGACACTGTAACTAACAAAAATTAATTGGTAATTGTTAATATTTTTACATGTTAATGGCTTGACTGACTTTATTTACATTACGTGTTTTGAAGTTGATGTTTGCTGTATCAATTCCCTAAGGTTCCCATTTGACAATGTCGCATCCGTATTTTGATCGAATGTAAGACTAATCCGAGTCTAACATTCGAACAATTCTGATCGATACTGGAGACAATTTTTTACATTCCACACGAGGCTATTGTGCCTGATAGTTGCCAGACGTCCCGTATTTCAGGCATTCAAATGTCCCGTCGGGATCGACTCTGTCCCGTATATCAAAACGATTTCACTAATGGTGTTAAAGTGGGTGGAATAAAAAACAAATTAATGTCCATATTTTACTGTGATTTGTATTGTTTTTTTTAGAGATGTCAAATCATGCGCGTATAAAAACGCATTCATCAAAAAACCATTTAATTTATCCCTGTTAAAATATGGAAATCACGTATTTCTTCCTTTATTTAAGAATTTGTCCTTTTCAAGATGAAAAAATCTGGCAACCCTACTGAAAGCTGGCACTCAAATAAGATGCGAAGTGATTTGATCAATATTAACATAAATTTATTCCAATGGAGTTTTGATTAATTGACTATTGACACAGATTTTTTTTTTTTACTTGGCGTATTTGGTACTTGGGGTAATGTTATCGGTCTTTAAAATAATTAAGACTCAGTTGTCTTAGTAATTTTAAAAATGTCACATACTACTGTAATTTTACGAAATAATTGTATTTAGGTGAATTCATACAAAGATCAAACATAATTATAAATAAAAAAAAAATCTTTGTCGGAGAAACGTCAAAGATTTTTTTTTTATAGGATGAATCTAATAATAGTTATATCTTCAAGTCAAGTAAGAACAGGGCGGGACTCCAAAAATAGTCGTATCGTCAAGTTAAGACTCCTTCCTTAATTTAACTTACCGTGAACACATAAGTCCCAACTGGCTGCTCTTCTTTGACAGTCGGCCTGTAGTTTAAGCACTCGGTGAAGAGAGGTTTATGGTTGTCCTTGACCGCCAGCTTCGGTGATGAGGCAGATGAAAACTGAAATAGCATAGGATCGAACCACTACGTCATTATACTACTTCGCTACTATACAACACTTAATGTAGGTACAATAGCAAAAGTTACGTAATACCTCTTTTCCATTCGCATGGGTTGCATTAATAGTAATAGTATCACGACTTTTTTATATACATATAAATGATATATGATAAATTAATTAAAAATATTTTTAAAAATTTACATTCTTAAGAGACGAGTTTCGAACAAATAAAATTCGGAAACAAGATCAGCCGATTCCAGTTTCGGGCACTTAATGGCTGCTACACATAGGGATGCGGTTTATCGGCATCTTGTTAGATCACGAAAAAGCTAATCGCAAATATCAGAGATTTCGTTAAGAACACATCGTCGAACGCGGCGCTGCATCAGTATCAGAGGAACAATTAATATAACATTTATTATCTTTTGAAGTCTGTTTTTGGATCGAGTTTCAGCGCTGTATTTTTAACAGAATAGCACTGCAAGCCGCATGACGCGGCTTTGTGTGTAGCAGCCATAGGACTATCGAATTTATATGTTTTCTCTATAAAATAGACATGGATGATCATCCGTCATGCAGAGTATGGCAATTTTTTATAAAGTATACAAACTCGTGTAATAGTGCATACACAATGATGTGTAGTTTTTAAGATCTTTACATTTTACATTGACTCTGAAACGAATTTCACATATCACTACTAAATTTAAAGTTAAAAACTTTAATTAAAAATTAAATGTTACCAAAGCTCGGCGCCAATAAGTTGTCGTGAAAGACAAAAGGATATGGTTCCTTTTATTATAATATTGCTTGGCACCCGCGTCTTAGAGCTAACATTTGTACAACTCACTTTCAACGATTGTCAAACAAGAGGATCTTACGACCCATCTTTTAAATAAATATTGTAAATTTCGTCGTAAGGAACAGGTATTTTAAGGGAAATCAATTGAATTTTAATTAAGTAAAATCAGCATCGAGTCAGTGTAATGTGTAAAGGTCTTTATTGCACCGTGCAAAAGTAATCTTGTGTCGTAAATCATTTAGAATAACATTATACAATAAAAATATAATACATATTTTTATTTTCAAAATGTTCGACATAGTATGGTTATAGTACGTACTTACATAACAGATTTGGAGTAGGTAATCGATTTTAAGATAGAAAAATCTATAGTAATCTCTGCTAATTCTATTTCACATGCATTATAAATATAACATAAGTACTTTTATAATTAGCTTGATAAAGATAGGTGTAAGTTAGTGTTAATTAAACATATTTTATACCTTAATTCCATGTAGCGTTACCGAGAATGCATAGAACCGAGAAATGAATTACTTAAACATAAAATACTTACATTTTTCCGCGTAAGCTTTACAGTTAAATATAATATATATATAATTTAATTTAAACAAAAATAGAAAACTCATCAGGCATGCAAAAACATCTATTTAATTTCGTATTTCATATGAAAAAGCGTTAAATAAAATATATACGGACACTATAGGATAAAGCTTTTTGGAGCAAATGTGGGGTGGTTTTATGAAGGATGGATTCAGTTATATGCAATACTCACAGAAGTGTGGATTGAGTTGAATCCTTCGAGGTGTCTTGAATGCCTTAACCTCGTTATGTGATGTGTGGGATGTAAATGATCTCGGACTGTGAACAAAAAAACAATAGAGTCAATTTTATATATTCAGCTACATTTCTGGATAAAAGTTTCTTTTAAATCTATTTCTGTGTTTTTATAGAATATAGAATTTTAAAATATGTATAAAAATTCAGTTTCCGTAAATATGTTGGCGTTCGCATAGTATTGGAGACTCGCGAATTTCTAACGTTGAATTTTTATATAGTTTTTATAACAAAGTTCCCATAAGAACATATCGGATTCAGTAACGACTAAATGAGGTAGTGCTTCCAAGCGAATTTGTAAGTTTGTGTATCTGTCAGCTGATCTTTAGGACCATTTTATTGTTTTTATTAAAGGATTCTCTGCAATTGTAATTTATTTCCTAGGAATTTGTAATAATAATAAAATATGTACACAAGAAAGCTCTAACCACATTATATAAAAATGCGTGTAAGGTTAAAAGTTAATTTACTATCTTGAACTTGCACAGATTCATTTCACAACTAAGCGTATTATATTTGATTTGTAAAGAAAGCTCAGGAAGCACTCATCCGAATGCATAGTTAACATCAGCTTATTAGCAAATCGGTATAAAATAAACGGAGTGCTCTTAAGATATTATGCTATGCCGTATCATATCCGGATGAGCCCGTTTAATATTGTTAGCCAGATTAGATTGTACGTCTCTTGTTTACATACCAATTAACCCACGAGTAGAAGTAGGGTGACCACGTGTGTATAGTCGCACGGGAAATGAGTTCTAGAGGTCCTTTTATTTGATCAAATGTCATATGAACATTTTATCAAATAAAAGGAGTGCAACTGAGTATAATTTGTGCGAATATATAAATATCGTTTTAACCTCTCTCTGCAGCTTATTTTCAACGTCACACACACTGTTTGACAAAATCAACTTAGTGAATCCCGAAATTTAAGCATAGTAGAATTTATATTATTATTCGTATAAAATATATATGAGGACTTCTATACAAATCAAAATAAATAATATTTTAAACAATTATAATTTAATTATATATCAGAAATAGAACCGAATCAGAAATAAAAACAAATCCGCATTCTTAATGAATAGTAGAAAAAGCATGGTTCAATCACAGCTTAATAAATTGAATTCAATGCTAAAATCAAATGTTGCTGTACTGTAGGTACGTATAAGTACATAAAATATACGTGTCTCATAACTATCAAAATATCGTCATAACTTTAGACATGAGCCACGAATTTTTTGATCAAAACCCTGGAGCAAATATTTTAGTTACATATTCGTTCCCAATTTTTCGATACTGCATATTTCAAATTGAACATACGAAAAAAGTCAGCAAGAAAAAACATTCTATCTATGCGTGTAAAAGCAAACGTTTGCAAGTCTAAAACACGATACGTGACGTTGAATTAATGCGATCGCTATCTGAAATTGTACTTGATCAATTCGTTCATATAACAGTTTTCGAGAGGCTTAAATAACCTAAGTTGACGGTGAGCCATTAACAAACATTATCATACATAAAGAAGACATTACAAAGCAAACAAATAATTGGTTTTATATTTATTAAGTGGGTTTTTAAAACATTTTTAATCAGGATATTTTTCAGTATAGCATTGTGAATGCAAAATTGTTCAAATTTATAAAAACCATTTAAAATATTGTGTGTATTTATGTTTATAGTTTAAGTTATTTCTATAACTTTGCTTACCTTTGTAATTAGTATTTTAATACAATTTTATTAGTTACTTTAAAAAAAGTTTTGAAAATCCTGAAAAAATATGTTTTATAGGGGTATTATTATCATAAGATGGCTAAAACAAACAGTGGCGATATATCATTTTAGTCGCAAGCAAGGCGACAGGGCACTAAGTAATTTTAAACTTAATTAAAGCAGTATTCAGCTGCTACAGTAGCTCGCTACGTTAGAGCGACATTGACTAATATAAATATCATAATAGAATGTTTCAGTATGAAAACATTTGATGACCTTAGGCTTTCTTATATGATCGCCAGTTTCATGGTTTCGTGAATTCCTATGACTTTCCAGGTTCGATTCACTGCCATATATTATTTTAAGAGATGATATTTCTATCTTTACTTATTATCGTAGTTATTTAGCAATGTTACCAAAACCGATACTTGGGAAAAGCTAGAAGATTGTGAAAAAAAACAAAATATCTGCATAAGTTTACTTTAACATTTTAATCATTGAACTGACCGTCTAATATTATAGATTTTTGGAAACTAAGCAATTGAACTGTATAATTCAAAAAAACATTTTCCATCTTTGATAGAATTTTTCGGAATTCAAATAAGTAATTTCTTTGTATAACAACAATGTTCTCAGAAATTCCTTAAAAATAGTAATTTTTTTCATTAATTCGTATGGAAATTTCGAGTAAATAGTGCTTAATTAACAAAAGATCGACTGTTTTGATGAATTGTTCATATAGTGTAATGTATAAATAATAAAAAAATGAATTTTTATTATAATCTGTATAATAATTAATAATTAATTAATAATTAATTTTAAAATAATTAACTGAATGAGTGTACTTAAAAATATAGGACATACCTATTATTCTGATATAGAATAGCGGAAAGTTTCACCTCTGGAATTGCTAACTACAACTTAAACAATAAGGCACTGAATCTAAGAATGGGCAAGTACCTACATATCAAAACATTAAGCTTTGCATCCATTGTGGAGGCAAGCCGGACGCCATATATTACACGTCTTTTGTTTTCCAAGCTACGAGAAAGTAGGGTGAGCATCTATCTGAATTTGTCAAAAAATGTCAGGACTTTTCGCCTTAAGTCAGACCATAATTCAAGTATATTATGTTTTTTTTAATTTTATATCTTACCAAAAGATTACTTAGGGGTTAAGATTCGAAAAGTCAGACAAATATACTCACGAGTAAAAGATCCCTTCCCTAAAATACTCTGGATCTGAAAACTTTACTTTTCAATTAAACTGACTTCACAATTAAAACATGACTCTTCACTTCCGACATATCAAACAAGTTCCTATTAAGTAGTTTATAATTGGAGTCCATTATTAGTTCTCTTCTTTTGTATATATTCCTAAGCCTTACAACTCTTTGTACTGACGTCAAAATAGTGAAGGCAGATTGAATTCTTCAGATGATTGATTATACGGTGCGGTTCAGCACATGACGCGTGACATAATTGTGATAAATAATGACTGACTTCCATAATCGTAATGAGAAAATATATTCCTTATAAGATGTTATAACCAAATAATTTTCCAGGGCGCGATTTAGGGGCAGGGGGCCGGGCGCCAGAGTCCTCAAATGATATTAAATCATACATTGCAAAAATATGAAATCCTGCCTCACGGTACGAGACGGGGTAAAGGGGCTTCTAGATCCGGATCTGTAATTTTCCCTGTCGTTATATTTATTGTTTTTTTAATAATGTCTATATTATGGTTTTAAATATATAATTGCATCTTGACTTTTAATATTTATGTAAATAAAAATCTTAATTTCCTATTCATTACCTACTAGTTAATTATTTCAATTCCGAGCACCCATTGACTCAATCTTATGTTTTTATATCGAATTTTTAAATATTTAAATACGACATCGTCCGAGTTGCGGGCGGCCGCTGGATGCAGCTGGCGCAATGTCGTCCGTCGTGGCGTTCAAAGGGGGAGGCCTATGTTCAGAAGTAGACGTCTTCCGGCTGATGATGATGATGATGATCATTTAAATATCGATAGCAGTTTTCAATATAGGGTTTACAAGAAATTAATTGTTAGGAAGTCACTTAATTTTTTGCTCACTAGTAATAGGTCTTTAAATTGGAAATTTATTCAGTTAATGTTCTTATGAGGGACAAGCGCTATATCGCCTTAAGTAGCAACATATGCGGATTTTTTTGTCTTTTGGTAAATTTTCATTTATGTACTCGTATGTATGGACGATAAAAATGTATATTTTTTAAACTATGCAGCATTTTCACAGTGTAAAATTGAGTGAAACGTGAATTTTTTTGCTAAGCTCACTTAGGAAATAGATCGATCGAATAAAAAACAAACACTTAGATAAATGACCTTAAATACATCCAATATTTCAGTACTATAGTAGACATGGATCGATTGCAATTCATAGGCAACCTAATCCTGATTGATATTGGTTTCAATATTGTAAATTAGAAGGCAACACTTTTATCATTTCGATTCTAGTTAGAATATATATGATTACTGCTCCATCTGGTATCTTCGATAGTTTTTATTTATGAACGCAATATTATAGTTTTATGGCACTGGTCAGATCGTCACGTCTTAGTAACAAAATAATACCATATCAGTTAGTACCCGATATGGTATTATTTTGTTACTAAGACTCGACTGGACTCGAACCAGAAAATTCCCATCATCCGAGGTTATTTCAAGTGAGCTACTGGTTTCCAAGTTTTAAATCACATTAGTGTTATGCCCGTAACAAAGGGCGAACCGAGCGAGCGAAGCGAGCGTAAGAAGCACCAATATCGATCGACTTTCATAGAATTCGAGTTGGCAATTACTTAAAAGTTTTCAGAAAACTACCGAAGAATCATAATTGTATGCACATTCTTTCCTTTTATCATCAGAGTCTAGAAATAGTAATATCGCCTCAAAATTCGAAAGAGATTTATTCTCCTTTTTTTAAATTCTATATATATTTCTGTAAAATTTTCTTTATCAGTATCCCCCTTCCTCTTCACCCAAACTACTGGCGTAAACTAAGCAATAATCTGATATGAACTAAGGGTAGATTTCGTAATTACTAGATTGAAAGCCTAATCACAATTTAATTAAAGCGAAAATGCTCTAAAATTTATTCCCTTTATCATTAGTTTCGAAAAGAATTAATTCCATCAGACGCAAAATTCATTCGACTTATTACTTTATGCCGTAATGCGTTTGATTAATTTCGGAGAAAATTACAACTGAGTATTTACTCTATTTAGATGGAATAACTAAGCCAAGGTTTCCTATTTTATTAGTCGTACCAAC